GCCTAGACAAAGATTGGAGGAGCCCTTAACGTTCAAGGCGAGATGGTTTGGTGAGGTTGTTCTACATGAGGCCTTTCTCACAAGACTGAGAAAGGTCAAATCTAATGTGCAGATACCAACAGGATCAAGGCAATTGAGGGAACAAGGTCATATAGTCTCAGTAAGTGAACAAAATACATCTCCAGCAACCAACCCGAGTGAAATGGCTCAGAAAAGCAGTGACAGGATTTCTTGAGGATATGAACATTTCCTAAGCACACTGCTAGCATCTTTAACTCCCTAAACTGTAATGTTCAATGCAGACTTTCTGCCTAAAGGGCCCATGGTCATCAGCTCAGCCTGATCCAAGTTTATGTTCCATCCCTTGCCTCCTCTTCTTAAACTCCATTCCCATACATGTTCCTCAGACCTCTGTATATGTTGGAAAACACTTCTTTATCATGTACTTGCTCATGGCTCACACTGTGGTCCTCACCTCTAGGGGCTGCTGAGGCCTGCTTCTGGTTATAGGTGTAGAAGGCAAAAGGGGGTAGGGCTGGGTCCTGACAACTTCCCCAGAGGAAACCAGTACTGGTTCCTCGGCCAGGTTAGGATTAGTTCCTTCAGGGAGAGGTGGAGAGGCCAACCCTGTGGGGCACGTGTGTGTGTGTGTGTGTGTGTGTGTGCACACGGGCGTGCAGCAGGGGAGTAGGGCTGTCTACCAGGGGTTGGAGAAGCCACTGGATCTGATCAAACAAACTAGGAATAGAGGTGTCCAATTTTCCCAGGCTCAGCAGAGTCCTTGTATTCCCTTTCTTCCCGATATACCGGGTCCCAATTATTTTCCCCAAATTGACCTCTTTGTAACTGTAGGCACCTTGCCAGGCTGAGGTTTCAACTTGTGTTGTGATACAGTCCATTGCACGAGAAGGGCTTGTGCATGGCTGATTATAGACAATTTCAGCCTTGTATGTACAGGAGAGAAGTTTCTCCTTCAGGAAAATCGGAAGCTTTTAGGTTATGTGTGGAACAGAAAATTTGAAGTGCTGAGCCCATTCTTTTATTACGATGTCCTATCGTGCCAAGAGGAACCAACTCTGGTTGTATTTCTTGGTCACCCCCGCACCCCGCAAAAAAAAAGTTCAAAAGTACCACAGATGAGCCCTGAACTCCTTGCTTCTTACAAGTCATGAATTGGGAAACCGCATACATTAACTTTGCCTGTCTCCTTCAACGTAGAGTGAGTAGGCTTAGTCTGAAAGCCAATTCCAAAAGACACAAAACCAACCAAGGACATTCATCTTGAATATCTGTTTTCTCCAGAAGTACTTCTGGTACTAACATCTGTATCAGTCAGGGTTCTCCAGAGCAACAGAGCCATTGGAAAATGTGCAGTCACCACTGTGTGTTTTTGTTGCAGGTTAATGTGTATTGCTAGCAAAAGTTGAAAGGAGGCTTGCCCTGGGGTATTCCAAGTCTGGTCACTAATGGCTAAGGCTGCTGGGAAATCCCCACCTTCAAGATGTTCAGGCAGAGAAGAAAGAATGACATCTGTCATTTTGGGTGAGAGAGCTGGTAACAGATTTCTTTGCCAGGTTGTGTAGCCCGGATTCCACCCTGTTCCTTTACAAAGTGTGATAACATTTCCCTACGTTGTTCCTGCCTATAGGATCGGAATGAAATCTGTAGTGACTTTAAGCCCTTGATAGAATTTGTCATTTGACAGGACTGCCGATGTTTTGTGTGACCTGATCGTCCCAATTTCGTAACAGGTAATGTTTCTAAGGCTAATGTGTATAGGGACACTTGGGCTTGGAAGATATTGGGTCTCCTGTACTCTAGCTTCTTATCCACAGGGTCCCTTCTGTCTACCCTGTATCAACAGTAGGGAACATGTACATCCCCACAAGATTACTAGAGAATGGGCAGACCTGAATTTCTAAGGAATGGAAGGGATCTGGTCCCATCAATTAGCTTGTCACTTGGACATTCGGGGGGAATTTCCAAAGAGCCATTTGTGGTGTTCTGGGTGGTGGAATGACATAGTATTGACATTACTTCTGTGGCAGAGCTACACTTACCTCCCAAATGGTTAAGCTGTTACGCTGCGGTCGGCCTTAGGATATGAGGGTGACAGATTCTTGATACCTTAGAAAACAGCTTGTCATTTGCCACTGCTTCGTGAGGAAGCAGGAAACCTCTTATGCATTCAGAACAATAAGGAATCTCTTTCTGTATCGATAGGGCAGGGCGTCTTCTCCGAAAAGGTATGCCTTCCAAGCATTGCCACTCAGGAAACCCAGGTTTTCGTACTCTGTAGAATCACGTCTGGAATTACCCATGAAGGTGAGACAGCCCTGATAAGCTGGAGAGAACTTCTGAAGACCCTTCGCTGGGTCACTGGGCCAGATGCACATTGGAACCTCTCTTCCTGCAGGAGGAAAGAGTACTTGCACTCTCCAATCATAAGATCTGAGCCAGTAGGCGTTGCTCTGAATTGATTTTTTTCCACCGCCCTGTCTTTTCCCTCTTCTCTGGCAGTGCTGAGGTGGACACACTGGAACCGAATTCTTTCACGTTGTGGCCGGCAGAGGGCAGCACTCAGTCCTACACCAGAACTCCAGGCTCTTTTGTGATCAAACTTGGCTCTGGGCATCCTGCCTCAGCTGGGCAGTTTCGTAAAGGGCTTTTTGAGGAGGTTGGGGGCAGGGGTGGGGTGGGGGTGCTGGTGGAGATGCAGCAGTGATGGTTTGGGGCCAGCCTAGTCGGTGCAGCCTTAAATGCAGGCAGGTTTTGGGAAATGGACTGGGTTATGCTCACAAACGGATCTCTAAGCAGATGACTCAAAACAGAAGCTGCTTGCCAGGGAAGGAGAATCCGAATGGGGGAACCAAAACCAAACGGATGAAACAGAACAGAGAGCCAGAGAGAAGCGAGTCACCTCTTTGTACGTATCAGTGGCTTCTACCGGACTGAGGGGATTGAGCACAGCAGTAGTAGAGCATGCCACGCTGTTCAGAAGTACATGTGTTGGAGCAGCGAGTGATCGTTTCTAGAACCAAGACCATGGTCAGATTTTTCCTCTACACAGGGTCAGTCTGTTTTAATGGATACATCTTTTACTCAGTGTAGGAACCTTTCTTAAGCCACGTAGGCTCGTTTAATATTCCTCACAGGCTCATTTAATGTTTCCCAAAGTGAGGAAGATCAGTGATAAAACGAATGAAGCAACATGAGAGCAAAATGTGCACCGTGTGGGCACTGGCAGGGCAGGAGTTAGGTCATGCCCACCCTCCCGTGTGGTGGTGCTGCTGTGATGCAATTTTCTGGTGAGCACTCATAGGTCCAAATCAGTGCATTACGTACTTGCACAGTAGAAAACCTTTGCTGCTGCTGACAAATGCCAAAATAGTTTCTTATGTCTCCTGAAAGTTAATGTGGGTAGTGCGTATCTGCAATGTATCTCAATCTTTTACTGGAGGTAAATTATTTGCTGTGAACTGTCAATAGCTATGTTAAAGGGTCACATAGGGGCCATGCCAGGAGGGGATACACTCATAAGAAGCAATTCATTATATGTAACATTATATTAAAATACATTCTACCCAAAGACACACCCATGCGCTAGCACATGCACACACACACACAGACACACACAGGCAGGCAGGCGCACACCCATGCACAAGCCCCCACGGAGGCTGGGGAAGGAACCCAAGGTCTCTTCACAGAAGCACCTGCTCTGTCACTGAGCAGCATCCCCAGCCCACATTCATTTCCTTTCTCAGTCCCACGGATGGAACCCAGGGCCTTGGCACTGAGCAACATCCCCAGCCCCTTTTACATTTGGAGACAGGGAGCTGCTAAGCCACTCCTTTGGCCAGGCTGGGCTTGAACTGGGGATCGCCCTGCCTCAGCCTCCCGGAGTGCTGGGGTGACAGGCAGGTACCACCAGGCCAGGTTGGCAGTCACGCCCGAACCACATCTGGCTCCATGTCCCCGCAAAGGAGAGAGTTGGAGGAGCTCACCTGCACCCTCATTCAGGCTCTTGACTTGTCGGTCACTCAGCATTGATGTGTTTGCCTTTGGTTCCACAAACTGCTTGGTGTTACACAGAATCCGTGGCAACGAATAAACGTGTCAGTCCCGAAAATGTGCAGTTAAGTGGCATCTCCAAAAGATGCAGTGAATTCTGCTGTTCCTAGGTACAGTTGAGACCTGTGCTCACCAATTCCCAAAGAACTGTGAGAGCGAGGACAGTGTTTGCTGCTCTATGTTCATGATTCTGCGGCCCCCTTCTGTGACAGAGATTGGGAAAGCAAACACAGGCCTTCCCTGAGTGCCCTTCTGGAGACGAGGGTTTTGCTAAGTTGCACTGGCTGGGCTAAACTGGAGAACCTCCTGGCTCGGCCTCGCCAACTCCTGGAACTGCAGGCGTGTGTGACTGGGTGGCGGGCTGGGCTGCGGGAGCCAGGGGAAGGTGTGTGACAGATCTGGACTCGCTGGCCCGCTGGGATCAGCCTTGAAGGCGATCAGATCTCGGGCACCCACAGCTGGGACCCACGCTCCCAGTCTCCAGACTGGGGCACTTCCTGGCCCAGGCCGAGTCCCCTGGAGCACAAGGCACCCAGGGTCCGCCTCCTCCTCACTCTCCCAGGTCCTAGGGCAGCCCGCGCGCGCCCCCTGCCGGACACAGTGCCGGAATGGACACAGTGCCGGAATGCGCCCAGAGGGAGAGCTTGCAGGCTCTGGGGCAGGAGATTTCTCTCGCCCGTAGGGGGCGCCACTCAGCATGTAGAGTAGAGCGGCCCACTCCGGTTATCCCTTAGGGATAGCAGACACACTTCTGGGCTCGTCTCTATGATCCAGCGGGTCAAGGAGGCGGGAGAGGTTGGGGAAGTTTGGACCCGGAAGCAAAGTAGAACCGGGAGCTTGGTGAGGCAGGAAGCCAGAAGCAGGAAGCTGGAAGCCGGAAGCCGCAAGCGGCAAGCCGCAAGCAGCAAGCAGGCCTGCAAAGCACAGCCATGGAGGTGGCGCTGGCCCAGGGGGGAGCTTTCAGCGGCTCAGAGCCGGGCCCCTCGGAGGAGCTTGCCAAGCTGGAGTATCTGGCCTTGGTGTCCAAGGTTTGCACGGAGCTGGACAACCACTTGGGGATCAACGACAAGGATCTAGCTGAATTTGTGATCAGTCTGGCTGAGAAAAATACCACTGTGGAGACTTTTAAGGCTTCCCTGGTCACAAGTGGTGCAGAATTCTCGGATTCTCTGGTCAGCAACCTGCTGCGCCTCATCCGGAGCATGAGCCCCCCCGGCAAAGCCATCCACGAGCAAAGATCCCGTGGTGAAGGCCCAAAGCGAGAAGGAGAAGCTGAAGGAGCTGTTCCCGGGGCTGCGGCAGCCGGACAACCCCGCCCCTGCCGTTGTCTCTGCCCCCTTGGGGACCGTGCTGGAGGAAGACGACGTGAAGGCCGCCCTGGACGTCCGGAGAGAGCTGGAGGCCCAGATGCTCAGTGGCTCTGCGGGGCACTGGGACACGCTGAAGAAGCAAAGGCGGGGCCGGGGCCCGGGCCTGGACAGGGTGTAAGGCCTTACCAAACGCTCCGAGGAGCTGACTGCAGTGAAGCACACCCGGGGATCCCAGCGGTGCCTCCAAAATGTGAGACTGTGGGCCTTACCAAACGCTCCGAGGAGCTGACTGCAGCGAAGAACACCCGGGAGGGAACACACAGGACAAGTTGGAAAGTAAAACAGACCTTTATTAGTCTGGCCAGATGGCATTCCCAAAGCAAAGTAGCTTAGGGAGGCAACTGGCTCAGAGTCCGAGGCTGTTTTTATAGGGGGTTGAGGGGGAGGTTAACATGTGGATTTACGAGAAAAGGAACAAAGGTTAGCGGTCAGCTGTCACGTACTGTTGGTCAGCAGACACACACACTAATGGTCACGACTGTCACGTACTGATGGTCGGCAGACACACACACTAATGGTCACGATTGTCATGTACTGATGGCCGGCAGACACGTTGATGGATTGTCCAACAGATAGTGGGTCTGGGAACGTCCATTCTCTGGACAAACAAGGAGTTGAGTAATTTACTTTTAAAACTCCATGTCTGTTACAAATTTTATCTAGCTTCCCAGAACTAACAAGCTTCTTAATCATTAACTCACATTTAATTGCAGTCGGGGCTACAAGAATTCTAATATTACAAGGTTTTGCAGTCCCACAAGGGACCCAGACAGACAGCGAGACAGAGACAGGGACCACAGGTGCAGACACCGGTCCTGCTCTTGGCGGTCTTGTTCCCGGACCCCGGAGAGGAGGAAAGGGAAGTCCAGACAGCAGTCCAGGAGCAGGAGCCAGAGCCCTGCCAAAGGCAGGAAGGACCCCTGGGACAAGGACTTGGAAAGGAGCCTGCCCAGGTGGTGGGACAAGCACGTGGACCCTCCCCCCCCCCGCCGCCCAAGGAGCCGGCCATCAGCCACATCTACACAGGCAAGGTCACCAGCATCCTGCAGTTCGGGTGCTTTGTGCAGCTGGAGGGGCTGAGGAAGTGGTGGGAAGGCCTGGTGTACATCTCCGAGCTGCGGCGCGAGGCCCACGTGGCCGATGTGGCGGACGTGGTGAGCAAAAGCCAGTGGGTCAAGGTCAAAGTGCTGTCCTTCAGCGGGACCAAGACCAGCCCGAGCATGAAGGACGTGGATCAGGAGAGTGGAGAGGACCTGGACCCGAATCGGTGGTGGTGGTGGCGGCAGTGGCAGGGGTGGCGGAGCAACCTGGTCAGGGGGACCAGCAAGGAGGAGACCTCCATGCGGAACCTGGACAGACCCAGCCACCTGTGGCCCATCAGAGGCCCCGAGGTGGAGGACCACTGGCTGGAGCACAAGCGCCTCACACGGTGCAACTTGGACCCCGAGAAGTGGAAGAGGAAGCAGATGATTGCGGCCAGCATCCTCTCCAGAGAGAAGTTCCCAGACTTCGATGAGGAGATGGGCATCCTCCCGCAGCTGGATGGCAAGGAAGAGGAGGACCTGGAGATCGAGCTGGTGGAGAAGGAGCCCCCGTTCCTGTGGGGCCACATGAAGTGGGGCACGCAAATGAGCCCAGTCAGGATGGTCAGGAACCCGGAGAGCTCCCTGTTGCAGGCCGCCATGATGCAGAGTGGGCTGGCCAAGGAGCAGCGGGAGCTGAAGCAGGTGCAGCAGCGGGAGGATGCCAAGATGGACTCCATCCCCACAGGCCTCGACAAGCACTGGTTTGACCCCCTGCCTGATGCCCAGGGCAGGCAGACTGCAACCAACCTGCGGGCCATCAGGGCGATGGCACGCCACATCCCCGAGTGGAAGAAGCAGGCATTCGGGGACAACAAGGTGTCCTATGGCAAGAAGACGCAGCTGTCCCTAGTGGAGCAGCGGGAGGGCCTGCCCATCTACAGGCTGAAGGGGCAACTGGTGCAGGCCTTCCGTGACAATCAGATCCTCGTCGTCACTGGAGAGACCGGGTGCAGGAAGACCACACAGATCACCCAGTACCTGGCCGAGGCCGGCTACAAGTGCCGGGGCAAGATTGGCTGCACCCAGCCCCGGCGCATGGCCACCATGTCTGTGGCCAAGAGGGTGTCGGAGGAGTTTGGCTGCCGCCTGAGTCAAGAGGTGGGCTACACCATTCGGTTCGAGGACTGCAGCAGCCCAGAGACCAGCATCAAGTACACGACGGATGGCATGCTGCTCTGCGAGTGCCTGGTGGACCCCGACCTGACGCAGTACGCCATCATCATGCTGGACAAGGCCCACGAGAGGACCATCCACACCAACGTGCTCTTCGGCTTGCTGAAGAAGGCCGTGCAGAAGCAGCGGGACATGAAGCTGATCATCACCTCGGCCACGCTGGATGCACTGAAGTTCTCCCAGTACTTCTGCAAAGCCCCCATCTTCATCATCCCTGGGCGCACCTACCCCATGGAGACCCTGTATGCCAAGGAGCCTGAGACCGACTACCTGGACGCCAGCCTGCTCATCGCCATGCACATCCACCTCACTGAGCCGCCAGGCAACATCCTGGTCTTCCTGACTGGGCAGGAGGAGATCGACACAGCCTGGGAGATGCTGTACGAGAGGATGAAGTCGCTGGGCCCCGACGTCCCTGAGCTGATCATCCTGCCCATGTACTCTGCCCTGCCTAGCAAGATGCAGACCCGGATCTTCGAGCTAGCCCCGCCAGGCAGCAGGAAGGTGGTGATTGCCACCAACATTGCGGAGACCTCGCTGACCATTGACAGCATCTATTACGTGGTGGACCCCGGCTTTGTGAAGCAGAAGGTCTACATCTCCAAGACAGACATGGACCAGCTGGTGGTGACGCCCATCTCTCAGGCCCAGGTGAAGCAGCACGTGGGCAGGGCCAGCCGCATGGGCCCCCAGAAGTGCTACCGGCTGTACATGAGCATGCCTACCACCACAAGATGCTCGCCACCAACGTGCCCGAGATCCAGAGGACCAACCTGGCCAGCACCGTGCTATAACTCAAGGCCCTGGGCATCCACGACCTGTTGTCCTTCAACTTCATGGATAGCCCCCCGGTGGAGACCCTCCTGGAGGCCATGGAGCAGCTCTACACGCTGGGGTTCCTGGATGACCAGGGCCTGCTCACCTGCCTGGGCCGCAGGATGGCGCAGTTCCCGCTGGAGCCCATGCTGTGCAAGATGCTCATCATGTCGGCGCACCTGGGCTGCAGTGAGGAGGTGCTGACGACTGTGTCCATGCTGTCCATGCAGAACATCTTCTACAGGCCCAAGGACAAACAAGCCCTCACCAACCAGAAGAAGGCCAAGTTCCGCCAGATCCAGGGCAACCACCTCACGCTGCTGGCGGTGTACAACTCCTGGAAGGACAACCAGTTCTCCCAGCCCTGGTGCTACGACAACTTCCTCCCGGCCCGCTCCCTGCACCGGGCACAGGACATCTGCAAGCAGATGCTGGGCATCATGGAGAGGCACAAGCTGGACGTGGTGTCCTGCGGCAAGGCCACGGTGCGCATGCAGAAGGCCATCTGCAGCGGCTTCTTCCGAAACTCAGCCAAGAAGGACCCGCAGGGGGGGCTACCGCATGCTGCTCGACCAGCAGGTGGTCTACATCCACCCCTCGGGCACCCTCTTCAACCGGCAGCCTGAGTGGGTGGTGTACCATGAGCTGGTGCTGACCACCAAGGAGTGCATGCGCGAGGTCACCACTGTCGACCCGCGCTGGCTGGTGGAGTTCGCGCCCACCTCCTTCAAGCTCTCCGACCCCGACAAGCTCAGCCAGCTGAAGAAGCAGCAATGCCTGGGGCCCCTGTACAATGGCCACAAGGAGCAGGACGCCTGGAGTATCTCCAGAGCCCTCAGGCAGCGGCAGCAGCGATGAGGGCCTGCCCCGCACCCTGAGGCCACAGCCCTGTGGGGTGGAGCCCAGTGTGGGCGGGGCTGGAACCGCAGCCCCCACCACATGGGCGGTCACCCCGTGCGCCCTCCTGGGGAGAAGCCGGGGTCCAAGGGAACCCCAATGACTTCCTCTTTCTTCTCCTCCTCCTCCTCCTCCACCTCCTCCTCCTCCTCCACCTCCTCCACCCCCTCTCCCTCCTGCCCCCCTCCCCCACCCTCCTCGTCCTTCCACGTCACCTCCCAGAAAGATTTCTTGGCTCAAGGAATTGAGAAAGGCCCTCTGCCTGGGTCTTGAGCTGAGAGGGTGCCATACCGGATCGCGGCAAAAGGAGCAGCAGTTGCCATGGACGCTCAAGAGCTTCCATCCCCTGCAAAACAAGGCAGACAAGGGGCATCCTCCCCCCGCCCCTCCGTGAGGGGCTGCTGGTGCACTCTTCTAGCAACGACTTGGCTTCCTGGCGTCCAACTAATTCGCGCCGAAGAGGTACAGGGGGATGTGGAGAACACTTTGAAATAAGATTGAATTGTATAACCCTAAGTGTGCTGTAACCCTAAGTGTGACATAATCATAAGAGTGATGTGTAACCATAAGATATGAAAGTAGAACCTTAAGCGGTATGGAACTGATAAGGGTGTACCCCGAACTGGACAGTGTGATAAGATGTGATAAGTCTGAACCAATACCACAAACGCCCAGTTAGAATAGTAGAAAAGGAGCTGAAGACTCCAAGCAAGTCGTCGATCCGACCAGTCGACCAGTCGATCTGCTGATCTGACTACCGACTGAGACATCTGCACACCTGATCCCGCTGAAAGGAGCATCGCCACCAACCAGACGAGACCAGAGGATGAGGCAAGCGGAGAGTCGGATAGCCTCGCGCCGACTCGACGCCCTTCGTCTACGGATCGGACCCTCTGACTCTACGGGAGGAAACGTCACGCTCCCATAAGGACTTGAGTAGTACAGGTACAGGGACGTGGTAATTGGCAGACTTAATATTGTGTGATAACTGTATTGAAGTGAATTATGATAATATAAGATAAGTGTGTGAACTGCCGTCCGAGTCCGAGTCCTCTTTACCCACGGTACCTGCTCGTGACAGGGAAACAGATATCAACGTACCATCCACCTGGGAAGAACTTGTCCAGAGACTGAGCACCCCAGCCTTCACAGCTTCCAATCCGGAACTGCATCCTGACTGCCCAGCCCTGCCCACGGGGGGGTGGGGGTTGTGGGGAGGGGAGGGGAGACTGGCAGACACAGGCCTGCCTCTCTGCAAGGCAGGGAGACAGTTTTCATGTGGGCACACAAGCACTTCCCTGGACTTCCATCCCTGGCAGAAGAGCAGAGGGAACTTAAAGTTAGCAGTGGCCTCTTTTTCCCAGTAAATAAATTCTTTCAATGGCTATGTGGCCTGGTTTCTAGTTTCTATGGGGGACAATGGAGGGGAAGGCAAGCGTTAGCTCTCCTGCAGCCCGGCAGGCAGATGACTATGTCCCAGCTGTTCTCTCTACACTCTTTAAAAATAAAGCTATGTATTAAGCTCATGAGTTGCATCTGAGTCAAAATAAATACCCTGTTTTCTCTTTACACACTTAAAAAAAATGACAATATTGATTTCTGTGGCTGAAAGCTCTATACCAGTTCTTGCTTTAAAATGCTATGTGATAGTCAACTGTGAGGACTCAGGCAGGGTAGCAACTAGGCATACTACTCAATCAATACACTTTTTAAAGAATTTTTCTGAAGTCAATATTTACTTCTAGATTTATCATAATAGAAAAAGAAAAAATTCTTTTTTATCCATCGGAAAGTTTATATAGAATAAATTAAATTGCAGATTTAGCCATTGTGTCACAAAGGCCAGCAGCATACGGTATTCAGGGAATAGAAATAGTACACTTGGTGTGGAAATTCAATTGAGTTCTTTCTCTCCTGTTGGGAACACGGAGTGACACAGTGATTATCTACTGGTGTTGGCATAGCTGGTTCTACCCCCACCTACCAGGCCCTCTGTAGACAGGAGGATGAAGAACAGGTGCTTCTGCTGTGAGGCTGATGGTGGATCTCCAACTCATGTGCCTAGACCCTGATTTAACTGGGAAGATGTCTCATCAGATTCTCAGAGTTCCAGCTTTTCTGGCACTATTTTTTCATCTGTTCCCTGGGGATGTTTGTATCCCCACCCAGTCTTTCATCCCTAGAAGGGAAAAAGAAACCAGATAATTCTAGCAGGGAATGCACATTCTTCTATAGAGAAATTGTGTTACAAAATCTGGGGCCAAGTAATCTGTTTGTAGTGAGTCTGGAAAGTTAGAGCAAATAATAGTAATTCTAAGTCACATGACTGCAGTAACTGTTCACCTAACTATGTCCTAGAGTGAAGGCAGGACCACCAGTGAGTGGAATATTAAGGCATGTCTCTTTCTTTATATAATTGTCCCTTACAATTTATTCTAACAGGGTCTGGAAGTGACAGTTGTTCTTGGTATGCTATGTTAAACAAATAAAGGCGCTCAGCTTTTAAGAGTAAAAGAGATTATGGTGTATTTAATTACAGGGCATAAAATAATTGAGAAATGAACTCCAAACTAGTGGCATTTCTATCAATAGAGAATATAAAACATTCTATAATTGTATAAAATATATATAAATATAAAATATTTCTATAATTCTATATATAAAATAGAGAATATTAAAATTCCTGAAATAGAGCAAGAGAAGCTACTATGTATTTTAACAAATTTCAATAATGAATGTAGGTTGGAAATTTGACTGAAATAATGCTATTCTTTGTAGGGAATTTTAAAACTTGGAGAGTTGGGGATTATCCTACTTTCTCATAACATCAGAGTTCCATTTCAACTTTCTGCTAGGACAAATCAGATTTCACTTGGAAATAAGTCTTATTAATGACATGCCTGGGGCTGATCAGACCCTTGGATACCTGGGGGAGGGGGACAATAGGGAATAAAGAGAAACAGAGACAATATTCAAGGTGCATGGATCAGAAGGAGTCTGCCTCAAGTGAACAGACTGACAATCTCCATGGTTGACCCACTTTTATTAGCTAGCAAGAAGCATAAGGAGGATTCCTTCTGGTGCAGTAGTATGGAATTATTTTAGTAAAGATTCAAAAACTAAGAGCTTCTCATCTTTTGGTTCCTTCTTAATTTTTTTTTTTTTTTTTTTTTTTGAGTACTGGGGATCGAACTCTGGACCTCATGCTTTTGTGGTAGGTGCCAGAACCACTGAGCTAAATCCCCAGCCCTCATCTTTTGGTGATTGATCTGATAAAGTGACCTAATAATTTAGAAGTCCACACAACCTGTCCATGTTTTAGTATTTCAGAATGCCACAGTTATATCCATCATTTGATAGGTGCCACACTCAGAAAGTCTGGTGGCATGAGATCAACTGAAAAGTTCCCTGCACAACTCTCCATACCTGATCTTTTATCTCTGTAGATGATCAGGTGCCCTAGCATCCAAACTACCATCATGTTAGAGGGTAATGAAGGGTTATTCTCTCCATAGGCTCTCTTTAATAAGTTATAGAAAGAGGAAGTTTCTGATGATTAAGTTTTAAAATTAGCCAGGAAGCACCAATGTACCAAGACTACACTTTCATGATCCTCCTGTCCCTCTGAGATCAATTCAAGAACATCTAATATTCAATCAGTAAACATCATCCACTAACCAGCAATATCTGATATGACAACTTTGGAGATGTGACACCGAACTGGTGAAAATGTAATTACTCAATCTTTTTACGAAGGGTCTATAGAAAATTTACCTAAAATAGAAGCAATTTTTCTATTCTCAAGGTGATTGTGCAGGTAAGGAAATCTGAAATGATAGTAATTAAATGAAATATGCTCACTACCTAAATTAAGCTAAATTCATTTCATACTCTCTCAGGAAAAGTTATTGTACAAATATTTTAAAAAACAACTTTTAAAATGTTACTTTACTTAGGGCAAGGTTGCTAAAAGTTAATTTGTACCAAATAAAGGAGATCAAAAAGTTACTTTAAAAATTATATTTCAAGCCATTTCCATTCATTGTCAAAATTAACTTTAAGTTTTATACATGCATTGAAATTATTTTTAAAAATCATTTTAAAGCAATTTCCATTCACTGTCAGATTTATATTTTTGCAGGAAGTCCCTAGGAATTTGAAATGTGAATATGTTAAGGCAGAACATGTCAAAATCAACATGCAATAATTCACTCTGATTCTGCTTTTGACATCCTCTTTTTAACTTGCTTTGTCAGTTTGTCTTTTTAAAAGAGAAGAAGAAATAGAGAAATGAAAAGTCATATGAGCAAGTGACTATGTAAGTGCTGATATTTGTGATAAAATAGCATGTAAAGCATATTCTACTTTTGAGGCACAAACATGATTTTAGGAAAATTAGTTGATTTGGACTTGTTTTATTTTTTCATTGAATACATACATGGATAAATGAGATGCTATTGAAAAGACATTTTATTAAAGCTTAAAATTGTGAACCAACATAAAGTTAAATATATTTTCTAAAACTCACATTTTTTTTCTGCCTAGGTCTTTTTAGTTGAAATGATCAGAAAATAGTGTGAGAGGAAAGAGAAGATGGTGGTTTATGAATACAAAGTTTAAATCACTCCACTGTAGAAAAAGGTGTGCAGGCCAATAGAAAGAACAATATAACACAAAGAAAGTGAACTATCACAACTCCAGAACTCAATGAACTACATCAATCTCTGCAAATTTCTATAACCCCAAATAATATGGCACTGAGTGAGGCTATGAAAACAGAGCAAAACAAAACAGCACAAAACAAAACCAAAGAAGTGTCCAGCAGTTGATGTAATATTTCTTGAAGATTATTTCACACTTTTGGCAGAAAATTGTCAATCTTCGCATGCATATGGAAGAGACAAAACAAGGAAATTTAGAGCCAGGTGTTGAGGTCCACATCTGAAAACCCCACCACTTGGGAGGGTGAGGCAGGAGGATAATAGTTCCAGGCCAACCTGGTCAACATAGCATTACTCTGTCTAAAAAGAAATAAAGATTAGAGAATGGCTCTGTGCTAGAGCACCTACCTGGCATGGATGAGGCCCTGGATTCAATTTTTTTAAATAAAGAGAAAAGCCACACATGCATACACAAAAGAATATATTTGAAGGGAA